AAAATGATAAATGATCAAAGAAATGCTTTCTCTGTGTGTTCTCCTGGCTTGCAACAGCAGCTCCATCTCTGAGCAAATGTTTACTCTGCCTTCCAGCTGTACTTATATTGAAAGGCATCCAATACAACACTACAGGTGCAACGGTCCTGCCAAACAGACAAGACAGAGAGGAAAGGGATCATGGACATCCACATATGAATAAACTCTAAGTCTCTGGAAAGCAAAAGGAATTATGAGACATCTAACCAGTAAACAGCAAAGGTCTTGATCCTTTAAAAATGTTGTGCAACTTGGACATGTTCCTTGCTGGAGACAAGGATTTGCTCCACAATCTCTGCTTTGGATTCTGCTAAGATCAGGTTAAGGCAGAAAAGATAACCACAAACAAGATGCTCATTTATCTCTCCTAAACGTTCAGTGATCCAAAAAAAAGGCAATACAAAACTCAGTGCAAAGGAAACATCTGAAAATAAGTTATAGAAATAAACTTAAAAAAGTAAGAAGAAAGACAATATTAGAATGAAGAGCTAAGAATTAAAAGCATAATAATATGGGACTCATTACTAGTTGAAATATATTACCAGGAGGAGAGATAAGAAAACAAATGACTGTGAGAATTTAGCATTAACTAGGACAGATAGGGTTGGAATAAGGAAGAAATAAAAGAAGAACATGAAAATCACAGTATTTAAAAGAGAAGGGAAGGTATCGTACTTCCCCCATTCTTCTTCACTGTGGCCATAAAATTTTAAGAAATTTACAAGAAAATCACCTTCTATCATAGATCTAGTAAATAAATTGTTTCTTAAAATGCACTTCTATATTAGTTGCACATCTGATCACCGAAAATTCCTGGCAAACACAGTCAACCAGTTGAGGGCATACTTGAACTGAACACTAAGTTTTGTAAGATGGTCAGAAAATGACGCTCACTGTAGTCCTCAGGAACATGACAACCACAAGTTGTCACACAACACCACATGCTGCTATCCACCTGCTCCAGGGGAAGAAGACTGCATTAATTTCACTGGGCAATTTTTTTGGTCATTTTATTTTACAGCTAGCAGTGAAATTCATGAAAATAGATAAATATAAAAAGAGATAGAAATACTGAGAGAAGTCTGATACTCTAAAGCTCAGTACGCAAGTTTGTAATAACAAAGTGCATTCTGAAAAAAACTGCATAAACACTTCAACTACAGTTGAGTTATAACTCAGTTCTACTTAAGAATAAGCATTTATTTCTTTTTATTGTTATTTATTCCAATTACTTTATAACTCACATATTCCTCTTAACTGCCTGTCATGAGGTGACTTTACCTTTAAGGTAGTTGTGAGAGCTAAGGAAGTTCAAGTTGCTGGGGACGGAAAGGAGTCTCTTCTCCTGACCAATTATTGGTCATTACTGGGAATTGACAGCAATTTTAACCATTGAAAAGGGAGATCAACTTGTGAACCCTACCTTAAGATGTAAAGTCGGGGCACTTAGGCGCTCTTTGTTTCCTGGCTGTGAAGGGTGGCGGAGCTCCAGGCCTCCCGTTCCCTGCCCAGCCCAAGCGGCCGGGCGGGGACTGGGCTGGGCCTGCAGCGTCTCCCGGCCGGGAGATGCGGGCCTGTGGAAGATTTTCCCTGGGCTCGGGCCGGGCCGGGTCAGGCCGATCTCTGGCTCGGCTGCAGGTTTTGCTGTAACTAAATTCACTAGAAACTGTTGAGTGAAGAAGGAGAGAGGCTCTGGACCTGCAGCGGGCTGGGCGCGGCGACTGCACTCTCCAGAGCAGCCATGAGGAACTTTCCATCGCAGACGGCTCCAGCTCCTGCACCGGCCGAGGCCACAGAACTACCTACAACAGCCTGGGCAAGATTTTAACTCTTTCATTTCCCAGATGAGACTTGCGGATTAATCTTTTTATCCAGAGAGAAAAAAAGAGAGTGATCAACATGAAAAGAGACTTTATAAACTACCAGTGACAGGAAAGAAAAGAAGCTTCAGAAAAGGTACAGAATAAGGAGATGCTTTAATTAAGCTGAAATATCTTTCTGTTAAAACTATGGAGATGGACAATGAAGTCCTGAAAAGAACTCCTTTAATTCATGATACAGTATATAGGGAGGAATGGAGTGTTCAAAGTGTAAATTTTGAGTAAAAAGTAGAGTAATTGTGATACAGTGAAGTGCTAGAAGATTTTGAAGCCTTGGGGGGCAATAAGAAAACTGTTTTTTAGTGAAGCTCACAGAAACAGATGAAGAAGACTTTTTGCCTTTGAATAACTCATCCTTAAAATGTCAACCCTAGACTCATGGCCCATACACACCTCAGAGTGATGTGAAATGGGAGGAGTGAAATCTGATAACAGCAGTTCTGGGAAACTAACATCAGAGCAATGGAAAACTATAACAAAAATAGTTTTCTTGTGAGAAACTCCATAAATTAACAGGAAGAAACTTCTGTTTCTCTACAAAGACTGGTGAAAAGACTGTAGCAGGAATTGGGACTGTTTTAACCACCAAAGTTCCAAAGTTTTTGTCTCTGTTGTCATGTGAACAAGGGAATAGTGGGTAGATAAGAGATGAAAAGGTTTTTCTGGAAGTTTATTCTGGTGTTCTTATTATTGTAGTTTGTCAATAAACTGTCTTTATTCCTTTTAAGTTTTATGCCTCTTTTGCTCTTGTTCTAATCCATATCTCACAGCAAGAAATAAGTAATTTTTTTTGTTAGTTACTGGTTTAAAACCACGACACCGCCACCAAACTTGGGATGCCACATAGGCAGACCTAAAAATCTCAGGCCATTTGAGACAAACACTCATTAATTCCTTTTCTCTAAAACAAAAAAATCAACCACCTTTTTACATTAATCTTCCAGATTCTATTACAATATTTTTGCAAATGGTGGTGAATAAAATCAGAAATAATTATACTGACAGTGTTCTTAAACATCTGACATTTTTTTTTCAGCTATTGCACTCAGTCTCACTTTGAGGAAATGAAATCAAATTCTTCACACAGTGACAAATATCGATTTAATAACCCAAAATCTACCAAGCTCTTCATCATATTCTAGAGGCTTTGAATCTGCACACAAGTGCGCTGGAAAGCAGAAGTTCTTGGCCTTCCCACACAATACTTTTCTTTCTTCTCACAAGCGGAAGTTTGAAAAAACCACAGCCTACACACCATCCACAGTCTCTGCAACTCAACCCATTACTCCTGTACAACACAAAAATCAAATTTTGGAAGGACACCCTAAATCTAAGACATGTGTAGACACTGGGAAATACAAAAGTCAGGTACAGAACACCTCTGCACTGAGTCAACTGCCTTGAAGAACACAAAAGAAAACCAGCAAGGAGAAAGAGGCAGCTGTATGGCTGAAGAGCAGGCTGCAATTAAAACATCTGGAAGACAGATATAAGGCCTGATACATTTCCTGCTATTTATTGCAAAACACAAGAACAACAATAAAAGCTTTTGACTCTCCAGAGGACCAGTATCTATATATGCACACACAGACCAGAATAAGTGAGTTAGTATTAGTGACTCTGTAGGACAGCTGAGTAAATTAGAGTGAAATGAGTCAGGGCCTTTGTGCTGTGGGAAGCAGGGAAAGACAAGAACATAGTCACACGTATCAGTCCTCCATTACATGAGTTATTGTAACTATTATGTAAAATATCTGAACAGACAAGAATTGAGTAGATCCATCTCTCCACTGGCAACTCCACTGCTCATGAATGTTAATGAAGATCTGTAATCCTCACCTCTTTGGAACAGGTGCACAACTGACTATCCAAGAACCACAAAGGTTGTTTGACCATAGGCAGAACAGCAAATAAGAGACAAATTAAGGGAGTGTGCCAAAGCTATCCTGCTGCTATCTCACAGCTGCAGCACACTAACACATGCCCACTCACCTGCATTTGGGCTGTCTTTTGGAAGGTGACACCTGAAGCAGTCTTACAGTAAAAATGTTACTCTCGTTAAATTTTCCAGTCCTACCATAGATATACTCACAGTCTCATCTACTTAACCTTCAATAAAAAATGTATCTAAAAACCTCCTACTGCTGACAACTCAGCACGGCAAACATACCTTTCTGACCCACTACAAATACAGTATGTTCTACACAAAACAAAAGTAGCATGTAATGGGCAAGTCTGTAGACAGGTACATCATCCAGTAAATATACAGAGACAGAGATTAGTCCACACAAATTGTGTTTACTGTCTCAGCTTTACAAAGAAAACCAAACTCATTCATACACCTTACAAGAAGATGTGAATTTCACAAATCAGTAAATGTAGAGTGCTGAGATATTGCAGGGCATGGCTAAGACTGTAGGCACATATCCAACAAGACTTTGTGCTAATGTACTTCTCAGTGAATTAACCTGTTAATGGGCCAGCATTTCAAATACTGAAGATGCTTGGCAGAGAAAGCAGGGCATGGAATGCATGGCATGAAGATCCACCTCTGAACTGTGAGCAGAGCAATAAAGAAAAACAGCTAATATACTGAAGTTTGTATAAGATGTTAATTTCATGTGTATTTCTCTAAACCGCATGTGTTCCGTTCACACTCTGCTTTGAACTACCTCAGCTGGTCATCTGGCCTCACCTCGCCTGCACAAGCAAGACCAGGTTTAGGACACAGATTTTAACTAAGCGTACCAGGAGCAGGCAGCTACAAGGCAGAGGTCTGACAAGTCAGAGACCTCGGCCCACCGCGAAGCCACTTGGCGGGGGGACGGACGCCCCTGGCCAACACGCAGCAATTGTAACGAGAAGCCGAGACGAAGCGCTCGGTCTCGGAAAGCCCCGCCGTTCGAGAGGCGCGGGACTCCCGGTGCTGCGGGCCGGGCAGTCCCCAGCTCGGGCACCCTGCACAGAGGGCCGCTGCCCGGCCGCTGGCGCCGCAAGGGAACGAAGGGAAACGCGGGGGGATCCGTCCCTCCCGCGCTGCTCAAGGGATGCCCGGCGGGATCAGCCGCGCCCGCTCCTCACCCGCGTCCAGCCCCAGCTGGTAGCAGGCCAGCGGCTCCAGCGACAGCTTGTATCCCTCGAACTTGGGGTCCAGCAGCAGGCGCTTGGCCTGCAGGGAGCAGTGGGCGGCGCCCGCCATCCCGCAGCTCCGGGAAAACTTCGGGCAGCGCCGGCAACTCCGCGGGCCCTCCGGGAACGCGCGACAGCGGCCGCAGAGCACCACGGGAAGAGGATGCGCGGGAGCCCGACCGCCGAGGTGCACGCCGGGAGCTGTAGTCTGGACCCGGAAGCAGGCGTGCGCCCGGGGCGCGCCGGGAGCTGTAGTCGCAGAATCCGGACTACGTTTCCCGGTGGCGCACGCGCCTAGGAGAGGTGGGGCCGGCGGCGCATGGCGCGTTCTGTAGGTGGCTCCGCCTCTGCTGCACGGACCGGCGGGGCTGCGGCGGGCGGTGAGCCGGGAGCTAGCCGGGAGCGAACCGGGTCGGGCCTTCCCCGCGCCGATCCCTCGCTCCGGGGCGCCGCTGGGTGGGCCGAGCGCCGGGGGCGCCGGGCGGGAGGGCCGGGCTGCGGAGAGGCCGCGCCCGGAGAGGGTGGGCCGTGCCCGCGCAGACGGCCCGGTGAGCCGCCGGTGCCCGGCGCTCGGGCAGCCGGGTCGGTGCCGAGCCCAGCTCGTCCCCTGAGCCAATGTTTAAACACACTGGTGCTCCGGTCATTAACCGCGGGGATGTGTCAGTGGACAGAACACTGCTGTTTTGGTGACTTTTTTTTGTTGAGTGAATGACACCAGCATTTGTCGAAACTCTGCTTTGCTCTGTGTAGGTTTGTGGAAAACGTAGATTTCCAAAATGAATAAAGATGCGCAGATGAGAGCAACCATTAACCAAAAGCTAATAGAAACAGGAGAACGAGAACGGTAAGTTGACTTCCTACTCCTGCTGGTGAGAGGCTTTAAATACATCAGACGTGCGCTACACATAGAAGTAAAGTAAACTCAATAAAGTAAACTCAGCTCTGAATTCTTTAAATGCTTACACATGAAAATCTTGAGTGTTACATAAACTATTTTTTTAAATGCCTTTTGAACAGTTTTATTTTAGTTTTTCAATTGAAAAGAAGTAGAGGGGAAATAAGGGATGGGGTTAATTGGCTTATGAACTGTTAAAGCTTTCTCTTATGCAGGTATTTTGTGTTGGAATGACCTAGATTCATGAAAGAATCATCATTCCATGCAATTTGTTACAGTTAAATCTTCTTATCAGTTTTCTGATAAGGCGAATGAAACAAAACTTTCCTTTTTGCTTTTAAGTTTTTCTTACGTTTCTAGCTCTGTTCTTATTAGATAAAGCAACACACAGTAGAATGCATAAAACACAAAAAAGAAATAAATAAAGAAGTAAAGAAAACCCAAAAAAATTGTGCAAGTCATTGTAGAGATTCCAATAAAGGCAAACAAGTAAATTGCACAATGTTTTTGGCATATTGTTGTCTTTTCAGTCTGTTTTATTGACATTGTGTTTGCATATCACTAGAGTGCTTATTACATTACCCTCCTCATCGCTTCACTGTGCTTGCAACACCATGCACCAAAAGCTCTATGTCCTTCATTTTTAAAGGCCTGTATGAGAAAAAATCTTTTTCCTGGGTCATGGCATAGCCTTGTACCTGACGTAGCCTTTTGTAGCCCGACGTGGTATCTCTGCTCTACATCTTTCCTGGTTGTGACCATCCCCCTGGAGATTGCACAGACCTTCAGCAAAGCAAGAAATTTCTTGAAATGCTATTGAGATCTGTTTTATGCTAATTTAAGAATAAAAAGGGTTTTATCAGGACATCGATTAAAAGCTATCTTATAAACAGGCTTTATCAGAGCTTTACTGTGATCAGAGGCAGAGCACTTGGATTTCGTGAACTGGGAAATATACAGAGGCAGACAATTTCACCTGTATTTTTACTCTGCTTTTTTCACCAGTTCATCTGCCCCCTACACAATTCACTGAGGAAAAGGGATTAGACCACTGTTCAGGCTCATGCTACAATCCTTTCATTCATAAAGACAGGGTTTTGCTAGAGTTATTTAGGATAGTACAAGATAAGCAGGCTTGCTAACTAATGGAGAAAAGGCTGAAAGGTACTAAGTTATTTATCATATCTTTCATTTTCCCTTCTTCTGTTTTTAGTACTAATTTTTACTTTTTTAGCTAACTTTCAGTATTCTGTTTTGATATATGGAGCAGATGCTTAATTGTGGCAGATTGTTGTGGTTTTTTTCCATTAATGCCTGAATCCTTGTTGCTTAAGCTTACATAGCTAATCATACTTAGGAAGATAAGATACAGGATCCTTCATTTTCACCCAGAACGAGGTAATGTGTAACTCAGGAGATAAACCTGCAGTTGAGTAGTGCAGAATTCTTCTCAAAAGGTGAGGGAGAAGGTTTTACTTATTTTAAAGACTTGGTATCAGGTGAAATATTCCAACTTTGAAAGTTTGCATACATCTGCTACCAGAGTAGACTCAGTTCAAGTAATTCAAGGGCTTCTACTTTTTTTTTCTGTGGCTGCAGCATCAACACTGCCAGAAGCAGATCTGTGAGTTAGCTGCTGAGGCATCAAATCCTCATAGTCCAACATGGCAAACTGAAATTGGAACTCGTTTGGGTTTGGATTCACCTGCTGTTCAGCCATTTCTGCTGCTGGTCTGGGAACTTTTGGGTAGTAATTGTAGGCTTGACTTTCAAACTGGAACATATTTAAGCTCATCAGGAATTAAACATCAGGAATGTTTGTTATTCTAAGTTTTATATTGTCTTAACAGTCTTAAAGAGCTGCTGAGAGCCAAGTTAATTGAATGTGGCTGGAAGGATCAGTTGAAGGCACATTGCAAAGGTAACAGTGGTCAATTAATTTATTTCCTTTGTATTCAGCTGAGATTCTGGCCAAATAAAAGTCCCAAATGAAGGCTTTACTGATACTTTAAACAAGACTTGGGTGAGAGGAATGTATCCCTGGCAACTTGACATTTACGTTTAAACATGCTACTTAATTGAGGTTACTTCTCAGCTTTGACTTCTGCATTTCTCAGTAGGGTGCAAGGCACTTTAAGTAAACAGTTGTTTCAAAACTGATGTGTATTAATAATAGCCTTTATTTTGCTATAGATTTATTCCTTTCTCTCTGGCATCACTTTTTGACTTGGCTGAAATATGTACAGAAATCTTGTTTAAACCAGTTGGAAGACTAGTAAGGATTTACTGTCTGTGCTCTTCCTTATTGTATGTTCCAAAGTGTTTTTCCAGTTGTACCTTTCTTACTACTGTAAAAATAATGTCTTTTAAGAGATAAGTGAGCCAATTTGTGAACTGCTCCAACACTCTAGTGACAGGCACATCTGGTAATACTCAGATGAGATAAAACATTTTAATATTTGTTTTTAAAATATGAATTTATCAAAATGCATCAGCAATGGCCAGTTCTCATCCTTAAACTTACGACATGAGTGAGAGAGTAAAATTGACTGTACAATGCAGTAGGTACTGAGCTAATAACCTATATTCAGGTCCCATGCTACTTCATATTCTCTCATGACAATGTAGGCGGGTTTTGTTTACCAGCGCAAGTTTTGTCATTTTATGTAAGTATTGATCTTGGTCTTTCCCAGATGTCATTAAAGAAAAAGGATTAGAGCATGTTACTGTTGATGATTTGGTGGCAGAAATCACTCCCAAAGGCAGAGGTAAGAAAATGAAAATGTGGATGGAGTAGTACATCAATAAACACACATACCTCCATTTCATTAGTATTTTGAAAGCAGTGTCATGAGCTCGCCCGTGTTGGATTAAAGGAAAAATGTTAATAGTGTGATATTAACTACAAATAAAATGTTAATAGCTTAATATTAACTACAAATGAAACGTGAATTTGTATTGTGTAGCAGCCTTCAGGTTACTTTTGCAAATTGTGTTACTTAGTCATGTCTACATTCATTTTTATAATTGACCTAATGGTCCCAAGTTGTGTACACAATACAGATGTTTTAAAATTCCAAATCTTTTAAGATGGAAAATCAGAAATAACAGTTCTAGTGTAAGAGGAATGGGAAGAGTAAAGGACATAGCATAGAGATACAAAAAAATTAAATTACTTAAGGAAACTGCAGTTCTCTTTATATTGTTCCTCTTGAGCTCTCTAACAGGGTCTGATGTTAGTGGCAGGAACTTAATTAAGTTCTAAACAAAAATAGGCCTTCAAAATAGCTTGCTTAGAGGCCCTTACTCAGAGGCCAGGGTTGAGATTTTTTTTTGGTCTTAAATTTGTGAAGACAAAAGGTAGGATAATCACACTTGTTCCGTGTGAACACACTTATTCTGTGTTTGTTCTGGTGATTATATCCTATTTCCTGATGAATAATCCTTTTCCTCAAACTTTCCAATTTTTTGGACTATGAACAGGCAAAAAAACCGACCAGTAACAACATTGTTCTCAATAGATCCCAATTTTAGCCTATTTTAAATGGGAAAGATATAAATGTGCTATGAAAATCAAGTAGTTTCAGTTAGTTAGGTATTAACAGAATTGCAAGAACAATGAAAGAATAGAAATGGCTGTTGTAAAAGTATGGTTTTAGCATACTTTTTATTTTGTCTTTTTTTACTTCTTGCTTTCTTATTTGTGTTTTAGCTTTGGTACCAGACAGCGTAAAGAAAGAACTCTTGCAAAGAATAAGAACCTTCCTTGCTCAGCATGCCAGTCTTTAATTTTGATGTTCATCTGGGATACAGTTTCCTGTATTACATCAATCATGTCAGGATTGGAATGCAGTTTACATACTTAAGGATGAAAAAATCAATAAATTTTCTTTGCACTGCATCAGTTTCTTAAACTTGGTGTTATTTTAATAAAAAATTGTGTGGACTCGTGTTTCTAAGGTGGTGTCCTGGGTTGATTATGATGTTAAATTGTATCCCCATTCGTCCACCTAACCCAGACACAGGTTTTGTATTCTTAAAATTCCATCTCAGAGTAAAAGTGAGTGGAAAAGAAGCACCCAGTCTGTTATCAGAGACTGTACTTGCTCCCCCCGCATCGGGAGTTTTGACTACAGCACAGACAGACAACAAGACACAGATCGCCTTGGCTTTCCAACTAGCCGGAGCAGAGAGGTCTTCCTGGACTGTTTTCTTTCCCTTTTTTGAAACGAATCGAACCTGCTCTGGACTGGGGACTCAGGGGAGCACCGGGAGCTTGCACCCGTGGACTACCGGGAGCCCAGCCTGGGCAGCGGCATTTTCCAGCGCCAGAGGGACTGATAACAGAGCGAACACCCACAGGAAAGAGACCCTCTGAAGTTTGTCATCTCTTCTGAAGGGCGAGAGGTTTTGTAATTTGATATTGTTCATTTTTGTGCTGGGTAGTGCTGTGCCTGTGAAATAAACAGGTTTTTTCCACTTCTCTCAGAGAAACCTCTTCCCAAACCGGTTGGGGGGTGGGAAAAAAAAGGCCACGTGGGTTTGCTTCCCAGGGGGAGCCCCACTGGAGGTTTTCTCCCAAATTTTGCCCTAAATCAGGACAGGTGGTTCTCTCTCTCAGTGGACTGTAATGTGGTGTCACTTGTTCCAGTTTTTAATAATCCTTAACTTTATACAACTGTGGAACCTTGCAAAGATTTTTCAGAAAAGAAGCACAGTTAACAAGTATGTTGACCAGAAATGCAGAAAGGTGTAAAAAAAAAATGTGGAAAGTGGGATAAGACATCCTGCTGAGCATATCCTTTCTGATTATCCCAGAGTAAGCAGGAGAAAGTTAACACTACGTGAAACTGTTGGTGAAATTCCTTTTGTACTTCTTTTCTACAGCATTAGTTGTTTGAAGTCTCTGATGTGAGTTGCAAGTATTTACTCAGCAATTCATAAGATGTCGAAATCTTCAAGAAAAAGGCAGTTGTATCTTCCATCAGCAATTCTTTTCACATTTATTTTGAGCACTATTCTAATTCTGAACAACTGCTGTTTTCTAGCTTTGCCCATATTATTGGTGGGTTTTTTTATGTGTGTCTTAGGGGCCTTTTTAAATTGAAATACCATTCAATAATTTGCCACTGTACGTCTTCTAACACGATGCATTTTTAATTCTTGTATCTGGAACTGTAACATCAGCCAGGTCTATACATAGCTGCAAAAATAAATTTTATTAATACAGAGGATCAGAAAAGGGCTTTGAAGTGAGAATGGTTAATTTTTCCCAGCATCTATTTGTCGTTTAGAATAGGCTATAAAGTGGAGGAGAAGCACAAGCATAAGCAGACTCTGAATGAGCAGTCGGCTACTGTTGTGACTCGGTGGCTATTGTGAAAAATTACTGACTCAACATAATACTCATACTGGTAGTTGGAAGAATACTGTAAAAACTAGCACTTAGAAAATCAGTCCTGTGCCAGTGGGTTGTGCTGTTCCATCATTGCTGTGAGCTCCCAGCTGAGGAGCCGCTCGGAGGCACCGGCGTCCTGCGCATGGGGAGGGTGACGGGGGCTCCCCTTCCCGTCTCCAGCACCTCCGCTGCTGCCCGGCCCCTTGGTCTGCGGGGTCCGAGCTGCTCTCCTGGGGCACAGGGAGTGCTCCCCTCACTGCCTGCGGGGTCCGAGCTGCTCTCCTGGGGCACAGGGAGTGCTCCCCTCACTGCCCGCGGGGTCCGAGCTGCTCTCCTGGGGCTCAGGGAGTGCTCCCCTCACTGCCTGCGGGGTCCGAGCCGCTCTCCTGGGGCACAGGGAGTGCTCCCCTCACTGCCCGCGGGGTCCGAGCTGCTCTCCTGGGGCACAGGGAGTGCTCCCCTCACTGCCCGCCCGCTGGGACACGCCGCCTCAGCCCGTCGGTCACCTGCGCGGCGCTGGGCAGAGCGACAGCGCAGGGCCAGGCCGAGAAGGCTGCAGTGGCTGCTCAGACGGGGGAACAACTCTGGAGAAGTTTGGCAATAGCCAAAGGTCAAGTTTGGCAGTAGACAGGAGTTGGTATAAACAGGACAATGTCAATATCAACGGGAGAAGATGTAACTGGTCATGAACATCTTTTGTCTACGGAGACCAAGTTCCTGCTAAGACAAAACAAAACTAGAGCCAGGATGGTGGATCTGCTGCAGATATTCCACCTGAGGGCCTTGCCTGTGCTGTTTTAAATCTATCTTCATATCAGTTTGAGCATATTTTCTGTATTTCATTACCTCTATGCAGTTAAATAATGGTGGAGGTAGGAAAGAAGACAATTATTTCACTTAAAAATTCATCTTAATTTTTTTTAATGTGTTTTTGTATTCAGTATGTATCATGCATTAAACTTTGCTGGCAACTTAGCTCCACACAGGTGCTCACTCACTCCCCCCAACACCCAGTGGGATGGGGAAGAGAATTGGAAGCATAAAAGTTAGAAAACTCTTGGGTTGAAATAAAAACAGTTTAATAGGTAAGGCAGAAGCCATGCACACAAGATAACAAAACAATTCATTCACCACTTCCCACTGGCAGACAAGTATTCAGATACCTTCAGGAAAGCAGGGGTCCATTCTGCTTAAGTTACTATGGAAGAGAAATGCGAGCACTCGAAATATTCCCCCTTTCATTCTCCCTCCAGCTTTATGTTGACACCCAGTTGGGATCAGCTGTCTTGGATGGGTCCTCTCCCCACTCCATATGCATCCCCAGTCCCCTCACTGGTGCAGTAGGGTGAGAAGGAGAAAAGGCCTTGATGTTGTGTAAGCACTGCTCAGCAATGATGAAAACAGCTCTATCTTGACACTATTTTGAGCACAAATTGAAAACAGCCCTGTAATAGCTACTATAACGAATATTAACTCCATGCTAGCCAAACCTGCACAGTATGTTAATTTAATGTAACTTTATTTGCTGGTATGTTCTATTTTAATTGCATATATGTATACTTATTATAAGTTACTCATTCCGGACTTGATATACCCAGTTCTAGGACTTGATGGAGTACATTGTTTCTTCACACAATCTAGCAGAATATATGCTACCTGAGCGTGTTTTACATATGTCAAAGTTGTAAAATACCATCAGTAGTGTTACCCTTTTGTTCTTAGAGGTCTTTGCTAATGTTCTGAAAGACTTAAAAGTTTTTGTTTAATGAATGGCTGCAGCATTTCATGGGCACAGAATGAACTTGCTCCAGAGCTACCAATTGATTTCCTTCACTGTGGTGGGAGAGGGCCAGATTTAAGGTATTCATACACTGAACTGTAGACTTGTCTCATCTGTAAACATCTGAAATTCCACCTGGAATGTGACAGCTGAACTGCAGTTGCTGTAAGTGCAATATTGTCCTCTGCAGGCAGCTCATACTTGGCACAGAATAAAGACTGAACACTGAAAAAAATTTCAGAAAATTGTGCTGACCAATCTGAAGTTAAAAGGCTTGACAAGAAGCTCTTTCACATCCTGCCAAAAATAAGCTGTAAAGTTCTGCCCAGACTGGCTTAAAATGCAAGAGTGTTCAGAGACCCAGAAGGAAGAGGAGAGTGACTGCATTCAAGACACACCTGTGGCTTCTGTCTCAGGATACCACTGGCTGCTCTTTGATGTAAGCAGCCCAATGCCACTTGTTCCCTGTATGAGTTCTGTTAATCACACCAGTGCAGCCACCACTAAGTAACCAGGCAAAGAGCGTGTTGGACAACATGTGCAGGTCCAAATTAGACTGGAGTGTCCTGGTCAGAGGTATCTTGATGGATCTTCTAAGAATGAAGTTATATTTGTGGTGATATCCGTAATGAGAGATGGTTTCTTTGTGGCCTCACATTTTTGTTTTAATTGCAGGTTTATTCTTGGATGCATAAGCTGGCTTGTTTTGCAAACAGCAGTCTTAGTTTATACTCGTTTGTTTGAGTATTGAAAACAGTAACATTCAGGGTTCAGTCAGAGCACCGTCCTGCTGAGTTTTTTTTCCCACACTGAAAAGTACAATGATTTGTGTTTTTAAAGATTCCATACTTCTAGCATATACAGACAGATAGATGCATTAAGTAATTTTTCTTCAAAATTTCTGCAATTTTAATGTCATGGAATACACTGATTCCTTACAAAGGCAGACAGCACCAAGAACTAAACAGCCATGAAGTGAGAATTCAGGATTGATGTGAATTACCTCAACTGTGGGAATATTTTTCTTTTAGCTGGCCCAGTGCATATACATTCCAGTAGCTGGTTCAACTTCATCTTTTTGTAGACAAGTCTGCAAAAAATAAAATAGTTTGTAAACAGACATGGAAGTAATGGGTTGGATAACAGCTAGAGTATATTGGTGTTGCTCTGGATGTGCACTAATCCAAATTCTATGTGACAGCAAATTGAATAGTTCTACTGCTGTCAATGAAAGGCCAATAGAAAAAAGTTAGCTTAGCCTATCCCTTAGTCAGGCCCTGAGGGGTCTGAAATGCACAATGAGCTGAAATTTGTTTGATTCTAATTTGTTTGATAATTATTCTCCCATGAATACTTCTCTGTATTGACATAGTCCAGTGAAAAAATGTTACAAACCAGTGACATCACCAATAGTTTCTGCAGGGATGTCAAACTTTTACTCACATCTTAGATAGAATGATTTTGCTACCATAGTTGTTTTTTGGTTTTGTTTTTTTTTTTTGAGTGGGGAGTATTGTTTATCTTCTTTTTTTCCAATTTTTTCTTCATTCTTGTTTACTGCCATAATGTTTCAGTATGGCCCTTTATCACTTGGAGAGCAAGTACATGGGAAATCTGTTCAAATCCAGTAAGATTCCACCAGAGCTATTAAAAAATATTTGCTGCTTCTCATTTCTCTCTGGAGGATCCTTTGAGGTGACAGCTCTGGACTGTTTCATCCATGCCATCATCTTCTGAAATATGTTTGATTGTAGCAATTGTGGCACATTGAGAGTTTGGCT